GGCGGGTTTCTTCTTTCCAACACAAAGGTACATTTGATATAAATATTGGTTCTGTTTGTTGATTCAATACCCCCCCCTGACTCAGTGCCTCTTAGATCTACCTGGGAAAAAAGACCTTTGTAGCCAGTCTTCTGGGGGTGGGACGGGTCCAAGTTCGACCCAGCCTACGCGGTGGTGTACATCGGGGACAAACGATACGTGGACACAGCGGCGGACCGTTTGCTATCTTATGAAGATAGCACAGGCTGCCAACATGAACAGTATTGACTTGAAGCACCACGCCGTATCGGGTAACGCTTCAGAGACGGTTCCCACACTGTCATTGCACTGTAAGCTTAGATGCTCAGAGACACCCGATCGACTGGTCAGAAGAAAACAGGACAGAGTGAGAGGTTCGGGCGAAGAAAGGGGAAGCTACGACTTCATAGTGGACATATCCACTAGGGGAAAGCAGAACTATAGAAAATAGATACGTTGCGTGGGACATGGGCCATAAAGAAATGATGTCGGGGCTTTGTTGCTAAACAGCACTTTATACCGAGTGTTCACCGTTTCAATAAACCTTGATGAAAGCCTGAAAGGATGTCTGAACCAGGGCAGATTTCTCCTGGGGGGGTACACAGTTTGTATCATCCTGCTATCCACCATTACGATTTGTTCTTCATAGACAACTTTTCATTGACCAGGGGTGACGTTCATAAACTTTGATAAAGCTGTATACACGCGGAAGCAATAAAGTCATCAATCTTCTGATGAAACAATATTCCTCCTTTACTCTCAAAAAGTGGCCTAAAAGCTATAAACTTCGAAAATGATAGATGGGAAATGTGCAACATCAGCTTGAAACTGTTGCGTCAAGCAAACTAATGAGCCTTTCTGCTTATTAAACTAAAGCCACATAAAACACAGTCGTCATCGTCGCGGTATAGAGGTTCGTTGGAGATTTGCATTGTGGGCAACGTTCATTGTGGGGTCGATTATGTGATTTCATCACATTTACATCAGCCCATCCCTCTCCCCCTCTGCCTGCGAGTGTTCCATTCTCCACCCGCCTCTGCCTACGAGGGTCTAGTGGCTTTGTCTGATTAATGCCCCTATACGAGCAGATGGCCTCCTGTCACCCCACTCAACGCTACAGACGCACAGCCACTAATCCTGTCGCATTTTCGACCTCTCCTCGTTCTGTAAACCCGCTGCTGCCAACGGTTGCCCAGAAACCGCTGACCGACTTTTCGGCGGGGACATGAAAAGGCAGGGTTATCTTGGCCTAAAGGGCGGAAGTGAAATTTTGCCAGTGCCTCTAGGAGAGAGGGGGGAGAGAGAGAGACTGTGGAGATTTTCTGTCAGTGGAAGGCCTTTATCACATCGGCTGCGGCGGTGTTACCAGGATTACGGGGGAAATGGAAAGGCAAACCAAAGTAAGAGCATGCTTTGGTTGAGTGATCAATAGCATACGTAAACCGGTTTTGTTTATCTGACCATGGAGGAATAAATCATGGCCTGACCATGTCTCACTGCATTTTCAGTGATTTACTGAGATAATTTCCATACGTGCACCCTTAATTCCCGAACGAGGACATAGTGAACATCTTAATTGAACAGGGTAAATCCCATCAAAAGCCTCTGGCTTTGTCAAGAGAGATGGTCCCTGGTTTGGCGCGTAACTGACGTCACATCCTCTTTAGACACGTATAGATCTGCATACTGGCATACCCCCTCCCCTCGAGCGACGCAAAGAGAAAGGTGCACAGCGCGTACGTAATACTCCCCGCTCGTAACAGCAGGCCCGATCCCTGGCACCATACTACACACGCAGTCCTGGGGCGAACGGTAAGTGCTAATCAATACGGCATCATGCACAGCGTGTGCATAATCATCATGGCAAGGTTTATTTTGCATTACCGCTGTCAGCACACAGCAACTAGAAAATGATACTTACAGTTGTCAGTTTGCGCATAAGAAACAACCCCAAATGATATTCGATGTCACCAGTTTAAAACACACAATTGGCTCAGAATAACGGTCAACATCGCAGTAAAGCTTTCAAAATACCAGAGACGTAAATCACACCTCTAGAATACCCTCTAAGTGTTTACGCGGAAGTCAAAGTTACGTCATGAAGTATTACATATACACTCATTACGCTCATTAATGCGCAGAGCCAGCTAACGACATATTTGCCTTGGAGTTCCGTCGTTTGATTCAGCCACACACAATTAGTTACCCTGAAATCAGGCGTGCATGCAAAGCACATACATACGCACGGGGAATAAAATAAGCACACTGAGCGCGAGGAACGAGGCCGAATAAAAATAAGGTCCGCGATGTGAATGATTATTCTCCAGAATACGCAAGTCTCATCATTACCTATAGCGTAGGAGATGAACAGGCGGGAATCATTATATTGACTCGCCGAGGGGTTTTAATCAAACCGCAACTCTGCGTCCGGGGACTTTTTTGGGGGGGGACTTGCGGCCAGTCAAGGAAGTATACACAGACTAAGCCAAGGAGAAACAATCTGAAATGCTACCACCCAAGGGTTCTCTTCGTCGCCCACCTGTCTTTTTAGCTCTGCTCAACGTTGGCCAATCAGCTCACGCGTACTGTTCACATTTGTTTTGACAGGGCCCACGCTGATGTCTCAGCAGAGGGTATTGGCTCACATTTCACAAAAACAAGACTATTAAACCGCACGGCTTGATCGTTCCCAGGAGTGTCCTGTTAAAGCTCACAAAGCCAAAGCTCCATCAGGGAGACTGCATCGTCATTTCATGAACATCAACCTTGTTTCCTGGGCCCACACAGTGATATCAGAATAAAATTCTTTTGTGGAATGGCTTTCCTACTCAAATTTTACGATCCAGGTAAGTACACCCCATGAGAATGGCGAGCCCTACACCTTGTGGGTGTTTTTCCTTGAAATCACATTTTAGAGGGCAAGATACTCAACCTTTAAGTGATTTTTTTCCCGTTGTATAACACAAGTCAGGGTAATACATGTACGTACCAAACTGCAAATGAAAATTTAAAATGTGCTGTCAGCACTCTCCATTCCGAGCACGAAATTCTATTGCCAGGACCTGGCAGAGTCTAAAATGAGATTATCAGTCCCCAGGCTACCGTCCTATCAACTCTCTCCCACCCAGCCAGATTAGACGGGACCTCAGTCAAAATGGCTTCAGGTAGGATGAGACGCCGTAGGCAGGTTAAGACGCTCGGATTAAGCGATCAGGAGATATGCAGATCTTCGGTACAATTTCTTGCTGAGCCGGGTAAATTAAAATGCCAACAAGAACAGTTCTCTTGTCGCCCGGCTTGGCACGTCGACAGACGCGTTGCTATTGCGTTAGTATACTCTCTACCATGTTCGATCAACTGTAGTGTTCTGGGGGGTACACGTGCTGCACTCCGGGCGTTTTGTAACCACAATATGTTCAGCTGTCAAACTTAAGAACAAATTCACAGTCATTTCCCGTGCACGCGTGATTTGCAATAGATGCTCCATTTAATACCAGGATCAGCTACGATAATACGCGCCATCTAAGCCGGATCTGACTTCTGGAGAAAAAAAACAGCTGTACCTCATCTGTCACATTCTCGTCAACATTTTCCAGCTTTTCACATTCCAAATAATATCTATATTTTAACTGAAACAAAGGACAGTGTTCGACGGGTGAAAATGGAACACAGACATGACAGAAATGAGTGCAGCCTGTCATTAACCCTAACACTCCTCAGTCCTCCAACAGGTGAAGGATTGAGGAGGGTTAGGGTTAATAATTGTACTAAGGTGGAACCCAACAGTCACGTAATCATCGGAGATAGTAGCAACTTGAGTGCAGCGACTTGCCATTACGGCAATTAAAATTTCATGAACTTCCCGCCTAAAAATGCACCTCGACTCGGCACGGCAGTCAACCGCACATGTACCTAATTAAGAAAGATTAAAAGATCCTGACAGTCTGGTTGCCCGGGTGAACGCGCGTGGAGACATCAACTTTGACAAACGCTAGCGGGCCTTAGTTCCAACGTTTAAACAAGTGCTTCATAAAT